CTGAAAAGATATAAATTTATCAGTTACCAATTAATGCGAAATTAAAATCCGCTTCCCTCTAATTTCTACAAAATATACTTTAAAACACACACACACACACACACACACAGATATATATATATATACATATATATATATATATATATATATATATATATATATATATATATATATATATATATCATAAGTAAATCTTCCAGCACATCAGATGATATTAAATCCTTAGATGATGCCTTCTCCTATTTTCTCCAATGTAAAATCTTCGTCTTCGTCTCCCCACACCCCGTTTCTCCATTCAGTGATAATACTTTCTGTTACAGCTCTTAAGCCGACGTTAATGAGTGAGTTCAGTCGAGTCCTTGCAGCAGAGATCCTAATAATGGGTCCCCGCAAGAGCTGCTCCAAAGCCTGTGCCCGCGCCATGCTCGTCACACGCCGACCTTTCTGGGGATCAGCATGATCGTGCTTAGGGATTCCACCAAGTGATGGTCTCTGCACATAATGTATACCATATCCCATTCTTCTGCGCGACACATCCTGATAACAAATGCAATGTTTCTAGCACTTTTTTCTTGAGTGTTCAGGACCTAGAGAGCATCCTGTGTCGAAGAAATGAATCCAGAGCCTTGGTTAAGTTAAGTAAGTTTATTTACCACCCTGGCTATCTGCTCAGGCGTGGGCAATCGTGAGTACAGTTTTACATATATTTGAAACAGTACAGCATTCTATGATTACTATAATTGTAAAATAAAAATATAAATCATACATCATACAAAAAAATATTACGTTGATATGCTTTTGCCACTGTGTTTACATAACACTGTTATTTGTTTACGACAGTTTTACATAAAAAAAATTAGGATTTAGTACGAGTATATCTTCCAGTGTATCAGATGAAATGAAATATTCCAATGGTTCTTAATACCTCATGTTAGGAGGTCTGAATGGCTGTTTCACATGACGTTCAGAGATATAGTGCTCAAGCGTTCGCTTGTTTTCTTCGTTACACAGTCTACATCTAGTTTCATCTGCACTTCTTGCACCGTGCAGTTGTATCAGTAAATTCTGTAATCTAAACGTATTATGACCTCGGTTTCAGGAAGGCTCGCTATCTCTATACTGATCGTAGCGCTTTATGATACAGCTTTCAGGCTTTTGAGTTTTTTTTTTTAACGAGGAGTGTGTTTTCCGTAGACTTTATGGCCTCCTCCACCAGCAAAGCTCACCTGCCATATCTATAATTCGCACAACATCAAGCTTGTGTAAACATCGCAGCCATTACACACAACCAGGCCAGAAAACTATAATACAATGAAAACATTAAATAAAATGAAAGGGCTTTATAATTATCAAGGATGGTGGTGAGGTGTATGAAAATAGAGTCAGGTGGTGGTGGGATGGCGGTGATGTTGTTGTTGGTGGTAATAGGGATAGTGATGGTGATTTTGATGGTGATGATAGTGATGACGACGATGGCGACGGGGATTGTCCAAGGTCGTTTCTACAAAGTGAAAAGACCCTAATTACATAAATCGTTCAGTATGTCGCATCCTGGTCGAGGAGGATGTTGTTACACAACAACCTCTACCTTTCACTCCATATTCTACGGTGTACGAAAAACACATTACAGTGTATATTTCCACGCGGTTTTATGAGTATGTCCATATCGCAGAAAAGGTATACCCCACAAAATTAGCATAATGTACACTCTCATACGTGGTCTGCCGGCACCTTCCGACGGTCCTGAAACGAGACTTGGCGTTGCTGTCCTCATAACTAAGTAACGGAGTCCTGAAACAGACTTGATGGCACCCGGATGCCTAGGACAGCAGCCCATGTGAAATCGCTTCCTCGCGCCAGCGCCGACGCTGACGTGCGCTCTAGTTCACTGCCCTCTCAACTGTGCCATTAGGTAAGCGGGCGACTGCGTTCTGTGCTGTCTGGTCTGCACTTTCCTCATTCAAACCTGACTCGCCTAACGCATCTGCTTCCTCTTCGATTTTCCCTGTGATACGAAGGACGCAGGCCGACCACGCAGCTAGGAAACAGTATTTATATCTTCACTACGTGGACCCGGTCTTCCGCCAGCCAGAGTGTCAGCCACGGGACCTTCACAGCAGTACGAGTATTTGTAGGCCGGTCGCGGAGCGGCTCTACTACCCGCCCCTTTTATTACCATGACACCGATCGGGGAGGAAAGGATTCCGCACTCCCTCTCCCTTGGTCCAAGGCTCGGGATCCTGACGCCTCTCCACACCGCCAAGACAAATATTGGAGACAGAAATTCCGCAGATGATGGTTCGAAATAAAAACTCAGGGACTTTTAATGGGTGTGTCTACTCGCCTCGTGACTGGCGTACGACGTTTCAACAACAACGTTACCTACTTGTACAAAGGACTTTGTTGGATGGTTCATTGTGGATTTTCATTCACGGAACACTGCAACTCCAAATCGTTCAACCGCAATGGAATATATTAATATTATTCTAAGCCTTCTGTACGACAACATTTACAAACGGCCTAGCCATGTTGCGCATCAACCCACAACACAATTTAGATTTGGAAAGCGAGGGAAGGTCGTAAGTAACATTTGTGCTTCGTCGGCATTTTTTCACCACACCCTGCTAATTTATTTCATGAATTACGTAATAAAAGTCACTGATATCATAATATATCAACGCCCAAGAAGAAAGCATATATATAAATAACTGGATCTCAGGCTATTTACCCCTAAGCTCCGGAGCACGCTGCCTGAGACTTATGTTTCCGAAAGTGTCGGCATTCTGAGATTCGCAATGGATATAAATGTCTCTGCACAAATTTGAATAAAGCCACGTTGCACTCATGCTGAAAAAATAAACGCCCAAATTCACATGACTATATTTTTCCTTTCATGCTTTTTCTTACCCCGTCTCTCAACATCCTATTGTCTCACTATTGTCATGTGGTTAATTTCTGCTCAGAAAAGATGCTATGGTGATGTGCACACATTCTACTTTCAGATCTATTCATTAAAATTCAGAGCGTTCTAAATATGTAAGGATTCATTAGGCTTCCTATTTATAGAACTGTTTTAAACATTCCTTTTCTTGAGGTTCTTATATAGCTGAATGCAGTCATGTGTGGAGAGAGAGAGAGAGAGAGAGAGAGAGAGAGAGAGAGAGAGAGAGAGAGAGAGAGAGAGAGAGAGAGAGAGAGAGAGAGAAAGGCAGAGAGAGACAGAGTGAGACAATGAGACATAGAGAGACAGAGACAGACAGACAGATAGATAGAGAGAGAGAGAGAGAGAGAGAGAGAGAGAGAGAGAGAGAGAGAGAGAGAGAGAGAGAGAGAGAGAGAGAGAAATAGAGAGAGAGAGGGAATCGTTTCTGACTTTCGGTACGTCCTCATTTCCTCATTTTAAATCAAATTCATTCACCTATATTACCCCCCCCCCCTCTGCCCTTTCTCTCTCTCTCTCTCTCTCGGCCGAAGGAGGAAGCAACAGGAAGCCAAGAGCTCAAGGCCCTGGTGTCAGTTGCAAGCATAACTTGTAAGCTCGATTGAGTGGCCAAATTATGTCTGAGTCATTCACACGGCTGTTTGTAAGCGCCTCGGCAGTGACCTGCGCGCCATAAACAGATTAATTTGGGGTTGGGGTTCGAAGAGCACAAAATGTGAGCGTTGTGAGAAAAGCATAGTTTTCGAAATTTGTTATTTGCTAGCCGTGAAATCCAGGACTTCTTAGCCCCACATAACCAAAAGATTCCATGGTACATTTTCATTAGAATAATCAGAATAATGGTGACTTTTATATAACAAGTAATAATAATAATAATAATAATAATAATAATAATGACGATAATAATTATAATAATAATAACAACAAAACACATTAATAATAATTATAATAATAATAATATAATAACAGTAATGATGATGATGAGGATGTGGAAGGAGGATGATAAATATATAATAATAATAATATTAATAATAATAATAATAATAATAATGATAATAATAATAATAACAATAATAATAATAGTAACAATAACAATAACAATAATAACAATAATAAACTAATGGTAATGATGACAGTAATGATAATGATAAAACCAATAATAATAATAATAATGATAATGATAATAATAACAATAGCAACAACAAAAATTATAATAGCAATAACAAAAAAATGATAATAATATGAAGAGCAACAATAATGATCATAATAGTAATGAAAATAATAAAAGTAGTAGTAGCAGTATTTAATAATAGTGATTATATTAATGATAGTGATAATATTAACAATAATAACAATAATAATAATAATAATAATAATATTAATAATAATAATAATAATAATAATAATAATAACAATAATAATAACGATAATAATAATAATAATAATAATAATAATATAAAGAACAACAATAATAATAATAACTATAGTTATAATAATAATGATGATGATGATAACACTAATACTAATACTAATAATAACAACAATATAATAATAATCTTACTACTACTACAAATAGTAATGAATAATAATATCATCAATGACAATAACAGCAATAATAATAATAATAATAATAATAATAATAATAATAATATCAATAATGATAATAATAATAATAATAATAATAATAATAATAATAATAATGATAATAATAATAATAATAAAAATAATAAAAAATAACAACAATTATCATAATTATATTGATTATGCTAACCAAAGCAATAATAACAAGCATAACAACAAAATAACAGTAATGATAGTAGTAATAATAATAATAACAATAATAATAAAAGTAATAATAATAACTTATAATAATAATAACAATAATAATATCAATAACAATAATACGAAGAAGAGGAAGAAGAAGAACAATAATAATATTAATAATAATAATAATGATAATAATAATAAACAAATAATAATAATGCATTATAAGCATGCTTCATCATTATTACTATTATATAAATAATAACAATGCTAATAATAATAACTCAACAGCAGT